AAAAAAAAGGCATTGATTCTATAAATTAATCCTTAATATTTTATAGGGTTTTCTTTCTCAATTAGCCTATTTAACTTATGAAATAATTATTCTAAAACTTTCATCTCAAAAATTAGTTTCTAACTATTTTTCCTTGAAAAATATAGCCCCTTTAAATCCAGAAATTAGCTTTAAAATTACTTAATTCCTTTTTGGCAAAATAAAATTTTTCATAAATTTTGTTAAATACTCAAGATAATAATTACATAATTTTTTCAAATTTTATTATCAATTAAATAATTTTAGTAATTTTTTTCTTTTTTTTCCATTTGAATTAAGCTTTTCTGCCATTAAATTATCTTTAAAGCTCTAATTCTTAAAATAATTCTTTTAAACAATTTTTATTCAAACCTTAGTTTCCTACTTTGTGAGAACTTCAATCTTATACATTTAATCTAGACATCCTACACGCCTCATTTGGTACCAAATATTGACAATGAAGGATAGAGACTATGGTTGTAATTGAAAGAAATCATTAAAAAAGTTTTGAAAAAATTGTAAATAAAGACCCCCCAATATATAAAATGGCAATCAGGGACCCTAAATTTGAGAAACTGCTCACAAAGACCCGGTCCCAATTTGTAATTACGAAATCATGGTCAAATTACCAAAATACCCCTCTTTATTTATTTTTTTAAAAAAGAACACCACTGCCTCGCCGGAATCCGGCCGCCGGTGCCAGAGCTCCGCCACCCCGGCTACTAGCCGCCGAAGCTCCGATGCCGGCGGCCGGATTCCGGCCATTGCCGGTGGCCTTCCTTTATTTTTTTTTGAAACTTTTTTTTTTTTTAATTGGGAGGAAGTGAGGTTGGGGGGATTTGATCCCCCAACCTAATGCTTCCCAAAATTAAGAATGACCATCGAGCCAACAAATTTTTGCTAACATTATAATACAAAAAAAATATAAGTTAACTCATTTACTCTTGTTCCAGGTGATAACAACAATACATTTAGAAATAACAAGTTCTGATTGTAAAATAACATGTGTGGAATGAAAATTTAACAATATGTTTTTTTTATAACAACAAATTTTGTTGCAGGTGATAACAACAATACATTTGAAAATAACAAGTTCTGATTATAAAATAACAAGTCTGGAATTAAAATTTAACAACACGTTTTTTTTATAACAACACACTCTGTTTCAGGTGATAACAACAATATATTTGGAAATAACAAGTTTTGATTATAAAAAAAACGTGTTGTTAAATTTTAATCCCAAACTTGTTATTTTATAATCAGAATTTGTTATTTTCAAATGTATTGTTGTTATCACCTGCAACAAAATTTGTTGTTATAAAAAAAACATATTGTTAAATTTTCATTCCAGACGTGTTATTTTACAATCAGATCTTGTTATTTCTAAATGTATTGTTGTTATCACTTGGAACAAGAGTAAATGAGTTAACTTATTTTTTTTTTTGTATTATAATGTTAGCAAAAATTTGTTGACTCGATGGTCATTCTTAATTTTGGGAAGCATTAGGTTGGGGGATCAAATCCCCCCAACCTCACTTCCCCCCAATTTAAAAAAAAAAAAACAGTTTAAAAAACAAAACAAAAAAAGGCCGCCAGCAATGGCCGGAATCCGGCCGCCGGCATCGGAGCTCCAGTGGCTAGCAGCCAGGGTGGCGGAGCTCCGGTGCCGGCGATCGGATTCTAGCAAGGCAGTGGTGTTCTTTTCAAAAAAAAAAATTAAAGAGGGGTATTTTGGTAATTTGGTCATGATTTCATAATTGCAAATTAGAACCGGGTCCTTGTGAGCAATTTCTCAAATTCAGGGTCCTTGAATGCTATTTTATATATTGGGGGTCTTTATTTACAATTTTTCCAAAAGTTTTTAGTACAAGTAATTGCTTGTTATAAGGGATTAGGCAAACCTATAAAGGTAGAGTTGGGAAATACTACTTCCCCCATGTTATGCCTTAATCTCATATGCATGGATTTTTTTAATCCCATATAATAAGTAATCTTTCATATTAAATATTTTTTTTAGTAAATTTTTTTCAATCTCAATTTCAATTCTAATCCTTATTTCTCATTTTAATGTTTCGTATCAAATGGTAGTTACAAGTTTTAACTACCGTTCATCTTCATCTTCTTATCTCAAACTGTTAAGTTGAAAGCTCGCTTCAAGCTCTCATATTCGAATATTCTCCTCCCATCTTTCAGCTCTACACTGCTGGTGCAGTATTAACGCACCCATATATCAGCCGCTATCAATTCAAATTGGGTGGGGGTGGGGGTGGGGGTGGGGGTGGGGGGGAAGAGAGAGAGGGAAAATCGCAAAAAAAAAAAAAAAACTGCTAAAATAGAAAAATTTTAAATAAGGATTTATTACAAGATTAGTATGGGTTTTGATAACAATTTGTAAATAGGTCTTTGTGTGCAATTTTTTAATTTTTAGCGTGTTTTTTTTTTTGCAATTTTCTCAAAAAAATGTGATTTTAAATATCATTATATTCAGTTACTTCATTCTAATTTTCCTTATAAACATCTTACGAGTAATTATCTAAAATCACACTGCCTTTGGTTCTTAATATTATTTCCGGTCCTAATTATAAAATCTTGTTTATAATCTATAAGCTAAATCTAATAATTAAGACAGGACGTAGTATAGGAGATAATTAACTAATTTGAATGGATTAAAAAAATTAATTAAATTAATTAATTATAATAAATAGTATTGTCTTTCATAAAATACCATTATTAACATATTTTTGTTAGAACTATTATCCAAAAAAACTTCTAAAAACCAGATTGAACGTGAAATTAACTCTTATATCAAGAAAGAGATATAATATTTGTTTAATGCTAATTCATATGGGTACCCAATCTTATTCAAGAGAAATTGAATCTTTTCACCCGACTCCGACACAGCCCCTAACAATTTATGTTTGAAAGATGCAAATTTTAAAATTCTAAAATTTAAAACCTTGATCCATAAATTCTGAAATTATATCCCAGGATCTTCCGTCTGCAATAAATTCCAAATATTGATGAATCAGCAAATTGTAGACTTTTTCCTTTGATGCTTTCATTATTAGTTTGACTTTGTAATACACCGTCCGATTGCTACTGTCATAGGCTCCTAGCATCACTTTTTTTTTTTTGTCCTCTCTTGACTTTTCTGTGTTTAAATAAATTAAATTAACTATAATTAAATAACACAAGCATTGTACATATATTTAAAGGCATCATCATTTTATTTGTCTGCTTTTATGTGAACTCATTCGAGTCTTTTGACTAATGTACCACAGGCATTAGTACACACATGTAAGTCATTAGATTGTAATTAACTATTGATTACTTTACTTATAAAAAATAACACTATTGATTACATTAATGTTAATATTATTATTACTATGGAAAAAAAATAATTATTAATATTATTATATTTGTTGGCAAATTTCCCGGCCATGAATAATTTTTGGTCATACAACTTGGTATGTCTGGTTAGGTACAAGAGAATAGATTGCTTACAAGTTAACTCAACCTTCCATTTTAGTCAGAGAATGTACATGTAATTCCAACTATCCAAACATGACTCAGCAACTTGTAGACTTTCTCCTCATTTTGCCCAATCTTAGACTCGTTAATATAGACATCCAGCTGCCAAACACTAATCTTTGCTTCTACTTTGAAAAAAAAAAAGAACATAAGATTATAATGTGATAAGAGAAATTGGTAAAAAAAAAATGCCGTTCACATTTCATATCACAAAAAACATATGTCAGAATTTGTGGAACCTAATTCATTTAAACTTCTTATAATATTACAAAATGAATGAACTTTTGTATGTCCGCAAATATATGTTTGTTTTCTTTTCTCAAATCAAATTTCCATAGGAAAAATGGAAAACACAAAAACACCTCCGAATATACAAATCTCAATGATCGCAAAATGTCTTAATCATTGTGAATATTTAAAAACTCGTATGAGGTTAAATTTTGTAGCGAAATCATCTTAATGTCTTTAGTTTGAAAAAACAAAATAATAATCTTAGTTTAGTGCATGTTTGACATTACGTATATAAGTATTTAAAAGCACGTTTCACTACCATTAATTAGAATTAAAAAGCTGTTTATCAAATGACAACAATAATAGTGACAATTAATTTTACTGAAATTTCTACCAAATATCAATGACAACAATAATTTAATAAAGAATAACTAGTGATGATAACATCTAAGATGGTGACCACTAATGGTTAGATCATTTAACAAAAAAACAACTAATTTCAAACTCTCTTGTTGAAATGGTAAATAGTTTTATTCTCGTAAAAAGAAAAACATAAGTTCAAATATCTGAAAACGTACTTGTTAGAAAAACTTTAACATTAATACTTCTGACTCAACAGAAATAAGTCTCATATTTTATAAGAATTAAGATATTTTAAAGAACCATTTTAAGATTATTATATTTTAATAGTGCTTATATATATTTCTTCCAAATAATTTCTATCCTCTTCAATCTGGGAGAATTCATTCACATTCCTCATGAAATATGGAGCAAGTGAACTAAACCTTAGGATTTGACAATAAATGCAGGAAATTATTTTATTGGAAGTGTTTTCTCGGTTAGATTTGGAAGGATGATATTAAACTATTATTTTTATTTTTATGTGTTCTTTAAAAAAATATTACTCCTCCAATTCTTAATATAAGACCCATTTAACTAATTTGATCAGATTAAAAAAAATTAGGTAAGTTAGTTAATTATAAGAAAAGTGACACATTTTTTTTAAAACACCATAATCATCTTTCTTAGTACCCCTCTCCCTTTTCTACTTGATTATAGTTGAGGGAGCATCCATAAGAGTAATTTAGAGAAAATTGATAAATATGAAAAATGAGTCTTATATTTAGAACCAAAATCAACTCAAGAATTGAGTCTTATAGTAGGATCGGAAGAGTATTAAAATAAGAGCATTTTGGTGAACTCTACTCCAACCATCCATATATAAACCAATTAATATACGAAGGAAAATTAAAAACCAAGGAGGAAGAAATCACAATCACAATGAACCAAATCAAGCGTGATGAACGATCATCATCAAATGTATTATTCTATCCCGAATAATATATTTATAAGATCTATGTGCAAATAATAATAATATAACAACCTATGAAGCAACAAATATAATGCCAAACACGTAATCCCCAAAACGAGTTCATCCTATCCCTATACCCAAGCAGCTCCTTCCACAGAATATTTTCTCATAATCACCATAGATCAACGCCGTAATCACAGTCCTTTGAAACCACCTTAGCGTTCGCCGTTAGATTGTCTACCGTTACATCACAGTCAACTTTAACAGTAATCTTCCATGTCTTAACGGAACCCAGCTTGATCTTCACCGGCGCTCTCAGTTTCAACGTTAACGGCACGCTCCGTTTGCTCTGTGCATTCACTAAAGCCCTCGCATCGGTAGTCGTCAGCTCAATGTTGGATCCTTTTAACACCGTTTGAAACACCGTGACGTTATTTGACGGCTGGTAAAACGCCGGCAAGGCGCCGTTACAGAGCATCACTTTCTTGTAGTACACTTCCACAGAGCTATCCTTCTCGTAGTAAATCCCGATCTTCTTGTTTGGGTTATCGGCGCGAACGGCGACGTCGAACTCCGGTGAGATCGCCGATGACGAGGCTGCTAACGATGTGAGGTTTACTCCTTTGACGGCAATGCTGTTGATTGTGTAGTCCGGTGCCTTCGGACGGAAAACGAGGTATAGAACGCCGGCGGCGATACCGAGTAGGACGATGAGGATGAAGATGAGACCGATCAGCCAGCAGAGGCAGCAGCAGCAAGAACCGCGGCGGTTCTTCCGGCGAGCGTAGTGGCTCTGGCGGCGAGCATTCTCCGACGGAGGAACGCGGTAGACTTGGTCCTTGGGTATCTGGATGACGTAGGTTCCAGCCTGTGGAGGCGGAACAGGCTTCGCCGGCCCCGGCGGAGAAGGTTTCCTGGGGACGCCGCGCTCCGGAGAAGATGTGGGCTGGGATTCGCCGGAAACGGGAGGTGAGTCGCGCGGATGAACTCGGTCAGCCATTGAGTAAGTCAGGGACGACGAGTGAGGATGAGAGAATTTGAAAGGTCTGAAAGAGAAAGAGAGTAAATCAATGTGTGATCTGATCAAATGGAAGAGGGGTGAGCACTATAAAGAGAAGAAACCGCGTGACGCCGGGACCGGGGGAACACGAAGTAATATCATATGCGTGATAGGGGTAAATGTGGAATGTGAAAATAAAGAATTTTTTAGTGAAATTGCAAAAATTTCCATAAAATTAAAAATTTTACAAGAATATCTTTTTAAATATAACTTATTTTTCTATTTTGACACATTGATGATAACTTATTTTATTAATTTTGATAAAATAAAAAAGAGAGAGTTAGTTTTAAATGTTAGTTTTCAAAGCTGGTTGATTTGGGAGAATTATTTGTTCCTTTCATTGTCATGTTTGTGAGGTGCACGTTATGACTTATGAGTTATGAGGCTATATCCGTACGATGGCCTTGTCATTGCATTTAAAAATAAGAATTTATAAATAATTATCATTCTGTTTCTTATTATAAGAATTTTTTAACTAAATTATACGGTTTAAAAAAAAACAGTCAAATATATCCCTATATCTAAATGGGTAAATGTGAGAGAGTAATAGTGATATAAATGAAAAAAAACAGAATATATTAAATATATTAAACTAGAGGTAAAATAGATAATAATGTATTAAATGTTCAGACAAACTCAAAAAGAATCTTATAAAAAAGGACAAACCTATTCAAAAAATTAGATCTTACAATAAGGGACAGAAGGAGTATTAATTTTAAAATTTTCCATATAATCAGTAAAACAATCCTCGAAGTCTTCCTTTTAATTTTGACATTAAAATTTGTGACAGTTTTGCTTCCTAAAATTAAATTAATATATATAATAAAATATTTTCGCCCAGATAAAATTAAGAACAGTGAAAAAAAATCGAGTAAGATGTTTTACAATCATACAACAATAAATGTGAAAAAATATTTATAGGTAAAACTAGTAAACTTGTGTATAAAATTTACTTTATCTTCAGTGTTAATGATTTTTTTTCCATCTTATTTCCCATTTTTCCTATGAACAATCAATTTGTGACTGCAAAAGGAATAAATCCAAAGAATGTATAACAATTAATAATCGCAGTTATGAAAATGCTTTGAAAAGAAAAATTCATGTATCCAGGAAAAAATCTTATTAATGAAAAAAGGACACAAAATTAGGAGAGAGAAACTCACATGAATGATTGAGATTGAGAGCTCTGAAGAAAGGCTTGAGAGAGAAAAAAGAGAAGTGAAGAGAAGAGAGGGAGAGTTTGTGTATTTATAGAGGCCGGAGGCAGACAACACAACAACATAAGGAAGACAAATGCAATGTGCAATTATTAGCAAAGAATAAAAAATAAAACAAATTCTCAACTACTAAGCTCATTCTTAAAAGAAAAAGGCTTAAGCAAGTAGGTTATATTTAATAGAAGGAATTTGGTAAATCTAGATTCAAAATTTTGATGGAAGAAATGTTTATATTTAGTTTAAACAAGTTTCTAATAAGAAATATTTGTACTCAATAAAAATTTAAATTAGACAGACTATGAGAGTCTCTTATAAATAAGAATAGGTGCTTCATAATAATTTTTTTTGCAAGGCATACATATTCTTTTTTTTTTAAAACAATCATGTTCGAGACACTGTCAAACACAAAATATAAACTATATAATAAATTTTCTTATATATAAGACAAGTGAGAGTACCTTGGATATTGGGCTTTGATTAATTTGGATTAAGTAGAAAATATATTATTATAAAGCTTTTCTATATAATTACAAGACTGATTTAAGACCCAATTGATTTTAAAACTAAACTTAAACTAACTATTATTAATGATTATTTGTATTTTATATAAACTATTACTGTGTCTCATTTGATTGCAACATGCAACACAGGATAGGAAGTTAGGAACAATGTTTTTACAATATAAAAAAATAAAGATATGTAGTATTAATTATAGTTATAGTATGCTTATTCAACAATACTTATTTGTTATGCATTTTATTAGAAATACAAGAGACATATTTTATTTGCAAAATAGAACTTCTAATCTGATTTACTTTACCACTGGCTATTGAAATGTTCCATTGATATGGAGTTTAATATTCTTGAAAATTTTGTACAATGAATTTAATATATATATATCCCTTGCTATTGAGAATTGAGACCACCCACCACTAAACCAAACCCATTAACTTTAACTGCAAGAAATTTTCATAGGGAAAGATCTTTTAATAATTTTATATCCATTCTACTGGCAAATAAATTTTGACATTATATTTTTGATAGATTTACCCTTTAAGAAGCATGATATATTGGCAATAATTTTAAAAATATATATAATAATTATTATTATTACAATGAAAAGGATATGGTCATGGAAGGAAGCAATACAGAAGGAAGGCGTGTTTGGTTGTCACTTTTTCACATTTCCGTTTTCCGCGGGTTTTCCTACGCACGCACGCTGTGACTGTGACGTGTCGCAATGGGAACTCATTTTCCTGCGTGTTTAGCCATACGCGGTTTTGTAGGGATGATGCGCGCCTGCGACTGCGAGCGGCATATGAATTGACATTAATACCCCCACCGCCGGATCACTTTCGTACTTTTTCACCTAGCTGCTAGCTGTTGGTTTTGGAAACAGGAAAGTTAAAGCGAAAGAGAGAATAAATATTCTTTTTCTTTTTCTCTTTTTTAAAAATGAAAATTAAGCAACAAAAACGTGTGCTGCCTTTTTCTTTTTTAGCATAATATTTATTGTTTTATTTTATTTTTTACGTTCTTACGTTTTGTTTAAATATCCTGTATATCATAGAATATACCACACATGTCAAGCTTTGTTTAAATTATACGCACTTTCCCAAAATAAAAGAATACATTTTATGTTCACATACTTTGGAAATTTATTATTGAAATAATGCCTTTTAAGTTTTAGTTGATAATACAAATATTTATGTTTAATATAAGGTTTTCACTTTATTGGCAAAAAAATGTTTAATAGAAGATATTTTGACTTACAAAAAGTTAAACTAAATTAAAATGCATAATGAAAAATTAATACATTTAAGCAAACCTTTTAGCATGATGGATCAAATAAAATAAAATAAAAAAGAAAAAGAAAAATTACTAGTCTTTCAGAAGGAATGTTTTGAATGAATGTTTCAAAAGCTGGACCCAAACTTAAAAAACCAACTAATCTCTGTTGTCATGGTTTAATTGGTGGTGGTCAAACCAATGACAGTGATTAAACCAAAAAAATAATAATTATATGCATATAATATATATGAAATAAATTTGTAATAAATCTTATTGTCAACATAATAACATCACAATATATAAACTTTTAATAAAATAACAACTGACCATAAATACTCTGAAAATATATTAAACTTCTAACAGTCTCAATTTTCTTTTTAAAATTTTTTTGATAGGCTTTTAAATTCTTTTTATTCTTTTTTTGTCAGACTCAAAATCTGTTCCTAATTCTAGAAGTTGTCCCGTCTCCTAATCTTAGATTTCTGCTACAACTTAATTAGTCAACCGTTTGCTTCTTTAATCACTACTACCAACAATACAAAAATTAAACTATAATTTTTTAATTAAAGTATGATACATATATAATACCTCCGGTCCTAATTATAAGACCCAGTTGACTAATTTGAGAAGATTAAGGAAGTAAGTTAAGTTAGTTATTTGTAATAAATAAGTGTTGTTATTCCTACAATATCCTTGCTAATTAAGTGTATTGGCTAGAACTATCATTATTAGAAGGACTATCTTGGAAAAAAATACATAAATATGATAGACAAAATGGATTGGGGTCTTATAATTAGGACCAAACAAAAAGTCAAACGAGATCTTATATTAAGGACCGGAGGTAGTATAGTTTTTTTTTTCAATAAGATAGAATATAGAATGATTACTAAACTATAAAATTATGTTCACATGTTTATTAAGTAATTGACATTACATTTTAAACTTCGTTTATAATAAGTAAACTAATTAGGTGCGGTCCTGTTGATTTTTTCCTCATACCAACTACCCCACATGGTTATTAGTTATTACATTATTTTTTTTAAAGGAACTTTTGGTATCTTCATACTTACTCTTCAGTACTACCTAAAGTAATTGACCAAGTTGTCTACCACGTAATGCCATTAAACTTTTCCATTGGAAAAAAATTAAAGATAATATTACTAACAAAATTGGGGAACCTAAAATAATGAAATTTTTATTGAGTGACTACAAATGAATTTTAAAATTATTCTAAAGAGATTCAAAGGTAGAAAAAACTTAAACTGTAGGAAAAAATTTAGAGTTCATAAGGGTAAATACAGAAATCTAACGCAATTAACCTGCTAGACAATTATTACAGGAATCAATCTATGACCATCTTTATAATTATTAATGCCAAATTATTTTGCGTGTGTGTGTATTAAATATTTTAAAAAAAGTAAAAAAAAGGGTTGGTAAGGCACACCCCAATTGACTGTTGCCTGCCACTAAATGATTGTTTTAAAAACTAAACCAAAAACTAACAGCCAATCCTTGTTGGCAAATTGAATGTATTTAAAAAAAAAAATTCACCAACTTTTGGGCTAGTCTATACAAGCATTTGCTAGGAGAGAATATGTAGATTTTCTTATGTTATAGTAATTTGTAAAATTCATTTATAACAATTGATTATCATAAACTTCTTTGAATACCATAGGATTAAACCAAGATTTCAACTCAAGAATAAATTTTACCTTAGCTCGTTTGGTATGAGGGAAATGAAGGAAAAGAAAAGCAAGAAAAAATTTTAATGAGCTCAATTTAAAAAATTAAATAATCAGGATCTAAAAGTTTTTAACTAATTTTTATTACTCTTTTATCTTACATTTTCTCTTTATTAAAATTGCAAAACCCAATTCTTCTAATTTTTTTAAATCAACTTCATTAAAATTTTTCCTTTCCTCCTTCTCGCCTCATGTCCTTCATACGAAACATAGAGTAAAAGGGGCACTTGAATTTGAATCATTTGGAGAGGGGAAAAAAAAAAAAAA